CGGGAAAGTTGAGTTATCTCCAAGAAATGCATATTTGAGATGCTCTGGTAGAGTTTTTAGAGATTGTTTCGATGGAACTTCAATATATGGTTTTAATGTGGACTTACTTGTTCCAAGATCTTCAAATTTTTGTCGGAAATGTTTGAAAGGAGCTTCGGCTTGCAAGTACATAACTTCTTCAAGAAGTTCATGGATTTCTTCTTTTTCGTTGCATCCTAGCATGTTGCAAGTCTCCAAGAAATCTTCATGAATCATCTTCCCAAAGCATTCTTGAGTCAATGTGTCAAGAATATCAATGCTAAAACAAGAAGGGACATCATGGTGTTTTTTCAAAGAGTCCCAAACATGAAACTCTTGTTCTTCATCTCCAACACGGAATTTGACAATTCCGTTTTTGACGTCAATGAGGGCGGTTGCAGTGGCTAGAAATGCCCTTCCAAGAATAATCGGAATCTCCATTTCCTCCATTTCTAAGATAAGAAAATCCACAGGAAAATAGAATTTCCCAACTTTGACAAGCACATCCTCCATAACTCCAATAGGGTAGCAGATTGATCTAGCCGCTAGTTGTAAAGCTAATGTAGTTGATTGGAGCCCCCCCCACCAAGCTTTTTAAATAAAGAATGGGGCATGAGGTTGACACTAGCACCAAGATCACAAAGGGATCTTACCTCTCCAATTTTTCCAATAGAACATGGCACCGTGAAGCTTCCGGGGTCCTTCAATTTAGGAGGGAGTTTGTTTTGTAGGATAGCACTACACTCCTCCGTAAGGGAAATGGTAGCAAATTCCACCAACTTCTTTTTATTTGAGAGTATGCCCTTCAAGAATTTGGCATAAGATGGAATTTCCGTTATAGCTTCGGCAAATGGAATGTTGATGCTCAATTTAGTAAAAGTATCAAGAAATTTTCTATATTGAGCACCATCATTATTTTTCTTCAACCTTTGAGGATATGTAATGGGAGGAACATAATTAGCCATGTTTGATGGTGGCATCATATGCTCCTCATGTTCATCTTTTTTTTTTCTTTTTCTGGGTCTCCTCCTCTTCCGGCATTTTCGGGTCCTCCGTTGTCTTACCACTCCTTGTGGTAATGGCCATCACATTTTCCCTCGGATTCATCTCCGTGGTTGTAGAGAATTTGCCTTGCTCCCTAGAACTTACTTTTTGGGCAAGTTGCCCCATTTGAACTTCAAGATTCCGAATGAATGCCTTGTTGTATTGCTCAATGGTGTCAATGCGTTGGTTGAGCTTCGTATTTAGATCTTCAAAACGAAGATCCAACTTGGTGAATTGAGAGTGGAGATTCCCAATGGATGCCTCCACTCTACTATGGTTTTCCTCAATTTGGGCCTTCATGTTTGCCATGCTCTTGTATATGAATTGCATCATATCCTCCATGGTGGTCTCTTTGGATTAGCCAAAATTAGGTGCTCTGGGTTTGGGTTGTGAGGAACTAGCTTATGACTTCCAATTATTCCCTTGCTTCCACCTTTATTGATTAGGAAAATAATTGTTCCCCCGATTCCCATAAGAGTTCATATAATTTACCTCTTCAAGATGTTGAGATAAATCTCCTTTTGGGTTTGGTATGCTTTCCACATTGGCTACTTGCTTGACTCCTCCCAATACGGCTTGTAGAGTCGTTTGGAATTTTTGCTCAATCTTTGATTCCATTTCTTCAAACATTTTGTTTATCTCCGTTGTGAAGTTGAGGATTTGAGGCTATAGATTCAATGATTCAAAGTGCTTGGGTTTCATTCTTATTTCCAATGTAGCCCTCGACTCGGTTGTCTACAATGACTTGACAAGGTGCATTTAAACCATTGTAGAACGTGTCAATTTGAAGATCAAGGGGAATGCGGTGGTGTGGATATTCCCTTAACAATGATTTGAAACACCGCCATGCGCCTTGAAAGAGCTCACCATTTTGTTGTTTGAAATTGAAAATGTGTTGTCTAAGCTCTTGAGTCATGTTGTGCATGTAGTATTTAGACATGAAGGCATTGTAAATATCTTCCCATGTTGTGTAGCTCGCTGGAGTTTGCTCTAGGAACCATCCTCTTGCTGCCCCTTTGAGAGTATAGGGGAAACATTTGAGCTTGAGATCGTATTCGGCGAGCTTATTCCTTGGAATCCCTTGAATAAATCCATAGGACTCCGTGATAAAGTTCAGTGGATTTCCCCCCGAATGCCCATGAAACTGAGGCATAGCGTTGAAGTAGCTATGCTTTAGTTCATAGTCTCTCGCCTCCTCGCATAATACAATGCAAGATGGGGAAATTGCAACAATGGGCCTCTTCCTCTCATTTAGTGTGGGCATCATCTTTGTGGCTTTTTGCTCCTTCCGAATGTGTTTGCAAGTTTTTTTCTATTTCAAGATCAAGTGGTTCAAGAGATTTAGAACCTTGACTTCTTAAATGCATGCAAGCACAAAGGAATATCTACACACACAAAAGTAAACCTTTCCAAGATCAAGTGAAGTTGTGAAGAGTAAAATAAATTCAGGATTTTTGAGTGATTGTTATATATATATATATATATATATATATATATATATATATATATATATATATATATATATATATATATATATATTCTTTGAACTTCATCAAACAAGACCGTTTCCCCGACAACGGCGCCAAAAACTTGATTGGGCTAAACTTGCAAGTGTACAAGTGCCGATATAGTAATAAATTCCGGTAAAATACCGGGTCGAATCCACAAGGAAACGTTGTTTAATTTAGTCCGAGAGTGGATGACTCTAAATAAATAAATAAATAAATAAATAAATAAATAAATAAATAAATAAATGAGTAAAGTGTAGGGATTTTGATTTGTGTTTTATATTTTCGGTTTTTTCACTTCTTGTTCAAGAAGATAATCGTTAACTAATTTTGAGTTTAAGATGAATGATAATAACAACTAAGGCTTCGGGAATCACTTAAATGCTTTAATAGGGTTGAATATTAGTTCTTTGCCAATAATTATGAATACGATGTCGCTGATATATTCTCAACTCCGGTTAAGGCAGCGAGAACGTGGTTTTCGTTATGTGTAAGTCCCGTTACGGCTTACATTCATCTACCGAAAACCCCGTTGAATATCAAGACATCACACCCGTATCATATAAGATCGGATATATTTCTATTCTCGATACTATATATGTTTTTCATTTAATGTTCATAGATTAGACTTCAACGTTGATTGCAAGTATAAACTAAATTTAGCATACTTCTATGTTGTACACCATAGTCATAAACCATCAATATATAAAGGATAAATCACAATTTATTGGTTTAGAACTTTTATCATAGACCTAGCGGGCATAGAAGTTCATCTCTAGGCTTAGCTAAGAATTTAGCTTCTTGAGCTCATGCTAATTACAAAATTGTAACTAAGAACAAGGAAATACAATAACATACAAGAAAAATGACCTAGAACCAATTGTAGAGGAGAGAAATGGCTTCTTCTCCAACTCTTCAAGATAATACAAAAATAAAATATAAAAACTGAAATTTAAGCTCCAAAGATGGAATGTTGATCTTGTTTGATGAATTGAGGGCTTTATATAGGCTAAAAATTGGCATCTTTTAGTCTATTCGAACCCAACAATTAGGCATGGAACATATATTTGATTAGATCATGAGGAAGGTAAGGTTTTTCCATCAAAATATTGTTGCACGTCTTCCTATTTTGTGCAGAATCGAACCTAAACGGTGCCTGTTTTAGGCCTTACCGGCTCCGGTTTTCTCTCGGCGTTGCTAGAAAATGGCAAACTAAATCCAACCGGCGCCGGTTCTAAGGGTAGACCGGCGCCGGTTCTCCCATGTTGTGCAATATTTCGTTTTTCGCTCCGTTTTACACCCGTAGTTGATCCCGAAGTGCCTGTTCTCGACCCCTTTTGAGTGTTGACACATGTTTCTTCATCTTTTGAGTTTTGACGCCTTTGTGCGGTTTTGCTCAAATTGAGATTTTTACCTGTTTCAGCTTTGAATATTTGTACAGATAATCTTAATTACCTATATAAAATATAGGTAATTATCGTGCTTATCAATTTGTTATATATCTTATTTATTATTTATTATGATTTATTCAAAAGAGAGTGGAAAAACAAGCATTTTTCCCGCCCAAAGTTTGTAGCCAAAATGGGTCAGGTCGGGTCACATAACCAGATTGCACATTTGACAGTATAGCTGGCCTAGACGTTTTTAATGCTCATTAAATGGCTCTGGATAATGTGTGAACATTGTACGTACTATTACCGACTTCTTGCTTTGAATTTGTCCTTTCACATTGAAAAATTCTAAAGGTATACACTTTTTGGTGTACACACTTTTTACACATGTCTGTGTAAGTTTTTTTTATGTCTGTACAGACATAACGTATTTTTATGTCTGTACAGACATAAAAAAACCTTACACAGACATGTGTAAAAAGTGTGTACACAAAAAGTGTATACCCCAAGTCAAACTCTTTCACATTAGCTGGTTTTGTTATAGTCCAGGTGTCGATGCTTACGCTTCCCTAATCATAAAGTCTATTGACTACCCTCCAAAGCCTCTAGACAGTCAAATCCGGATATTATGACAGTCAGCCTTCGTCGGTACTGGTACCACAGGATGAATCCAGCATGACTTCCTTTCAACTGAATCCAGAATGGTCCTCCTACTATGCAGGGCTTCCTTTCATCCGTATCCAGAAAGGTCCTCCCACCATGCGAACTCGCGACCTGAATTTCCATCCGCTCCCTTCTAAGCCGTTGTGCAACTCCGTGAAGGTAGGAAGAATCATTGGGAGCAAAACCTCTCTCATCTCCCCTAAATGTGGCTAGCGGGATTCGAACCCAAGACCTCCGCTAGGACACGGTAACCTCCCATCCAGTGAGCTGAAATGGTTGGTTTTGAGCTTATTTTTAAATACTACGTATCAACTAACTGCCTGGTTAAATTAGTTCTCACAGCTACTTTTTATTTGTTAGTTTCAAGTACAGAGTTATTAGATTCACAATTCCAAAGAAATCCATAAAGCTGGATACTATTACAGAATTGCCGAATCACTCATTCGTATGGCATACTATTATTCGTTTGATATATCATACAGAGTGTATGTGTACAAGGATACACGAGGTAAAACTACTATAGAGTTATTAGATTCACAATTCCAAAGAGCATTTGCATTGCTAGAGCACATCAACTCTATTCGACATATTTCTTGAGAAAGGGTTGTGAGAACCTTTGAGGTGTCAGCTTGTTGATATGGAACACAATGTAGATAACTAGATACTGGAATTGCTCTTCAATGATCAAGGTATGAAATATGCATGTAAACACATGTTTTGAAATTAAAATACACAATGTTTTTTTTTAATCTACAAAATCACATGCATTAGTTGTTTCTCTAATATAGAGGTAATTTAGTACGGAGTAAGAATTACGCTTGCTATTAAAAATGTGTTCCAAAAACCATTTATATTCATGTAACTCAACAGTTTTGGAAAAGTTTTATCTAATTACACCAAGTGTAATTGGACAGATGTATTTTACCTACAGAATATGTAAAAAGCTAAAAAAAAATGTAAATATATTCTTTAAACGCTTAACAATGTGTATTTAAGAACACCAAGTCTAAACAAGGAAGGAAGGAAATACGTACAAAGCAGAAGCAAGGACTTTTAAAACTAATTTCAAATATAGTTATTATTATTATTACACTTGGTATTTAGGTTATTTATGTTCCGCATTTTTGCTTGCGGAACACAAAGCAATGTGATGGATCGTCGGACCAGGGGTGGCCGGAATCCACCGAGAATAAAAGGAAATGGAGAGAGAACTGATCGGAAAGTGCAGATCATAATTTCGGCAGTATAACATTATGGAATTCAGAATGCGATCCCTTCCACGGGTTGGGAGGTGATATTTATACTACAAAAGGCAATACTTGGTGCCCAAATAAAAGATGCTAGTCTAATAGGAGAGAGGCACGTGTAAAGCTACTCTAACAAGATAACAACCTAATTCGATGGGGAGCAGCCACGTGTAAAGCTGATTGCAGAGAGAGTCTTCAATAACTGGCAGATTGGAGTTTGCTCCTAACAGAATTGCTGCCAGAAATCCCGTGTGGTTAAGTGTGGGTAACTGAGAATATTCCCTGGTGACGTGGCGACATCTCCTTGTGAAGTAGATCCTCGCGGATTTCGTCTAAGTCCACGATGCCTTACTCAGACCTTGGGGGTTACAGAGGTCGTTACCTGGGAGCTCAGGCCCGCGATGAGAGGACTCACCCCCTTTGTCTCATGTTTCCGCTTTTTTAGGTAGTTGACTGCCCGGCGCTTGATTAACGTTGACCAGATGTTTGACTCTCGAGGCCAGACCTGGTACCGACCTCGGATGCATCGAGGTCGGGCTCATAAGTCTCCGAGTTCGGTTGATCCCTGAGCCTAATGTTTCCCCGACCTCGGGGTCGGGGTCGGGGTCGGACGACTTGTTATCCGCCGAGTTTGGATGACCCCTGAGCTTGCTATTTTCCCGACCTCGGCGATAAGGGTCGGGGTCAGTCTCAGATGTGGACTTAGTATTTTCACGTACTCCAGAATGGGTCCGTGATATTTTATACCGGCGATTATGATACCCCTGGGGTATACGGGAATATACTCCATCACAAGGGCTAAAGGAAAGGCTCAAATACAAACTAAGTAGATTAGATTGCTTTGGGAATGCAATATGTTTTGATGTGAAATACATTATATTTTATGATATTCAATATCCCTAATTTAAAGGTAAATGGTTATTTGTACTGTAGTGAGTCATTGAAATGTTAAAGCAAGGTATGGGCTCTCTTTTAAGTGAGTGTTGATTTTGTGAATTATGTGTTGCAGAGTAATAATTTCTAAATTGAGAAAAGACATGATAACAACATGCCTTGAAAATGGTTAGACCAATACAACAATGCATTGTGTATTTCATAATGTGGATGTTGATAAAATTATTGCTAAAAATGTGTTAAAATTGCATTAAATGGTAGATTTCGGGCAAAAATTTGAGTAGGTCCCACTTCTGATCTGGATCGGGTCAAAGTGGTTTCGAATTCTCCTTGTTGAGGGCTTCGATTCGATATATGGTACACTCAAAATTGATAACAGGTGAATGAGAAGTTTATTCTCGAAGTTCACTCGTTGAAAGGTCACCAGCAGCAGGCTGCTAGTGAACGGTCATCAGTAGGTTGCTAGTGAACGGTTATAGACTTTAATGCCCAACGTTCTTCTCCTTTAATACATCTTTAAATGGACAATTTCTAAACATATTAGTTTCCAACATTCTTGTCATTTATGTCCAACGTTCAGGGACAGAGCCACCTCATAGCTTGTGGTGTCAATTGACACCACTAAAAAAATAAATTCCATATGTAGGTGCATATAATTTTTTAAAATTAAAAATTGACACCACTGGTGCATCGACCAGTGTTGTTGTGATTGATGTTGTCCAACATGCGGATGGTGGTGATCATGAGGTGGAGGTTGTTGTGGTTGAGGACCTTACCGAGGAGCCCTCTTCGTCTGCCCTCATTCAACCCCCTGAATACTGAAATCCCCTCTGCCGGTGCTGGTTATAGCCGAGAAGTGGTCAGGGGGTTGTATGACGTTGTGGCCCGCTACCCGCCGAGGGGCGGAATTAATAGAATTATTAGACCATTAGTATTGTACTTTACATTAAACTCTTTTATTATAAATATCTGTCAGGGCTCCTTAGAGAGTATCATGTTCCATTATTCTCACATGGTATCAAGAGCACACTAAAACCCTATTTTTTCCTTTCTCTCTCTACACTCGGCGCCGCCAGGCTTCCATCGCAGCCGCTGCCTCTTCCAAAAACAAAAAGAATACGCCGCCGCTACTATGTTTTCGAGCCCCTCTCTTCCGCAGCGTCTCCCATGGCAACCGCCTCCGCGACATCTGCCTCGTCCGTCGCAGGAATTGCAGCGCCGACCGCCAGCACCACAACGCCGGTCTTCTCCTCCGGCTTAGCCTCACCCGGCCAATATTCCAGGCCTTATTCCCTGTTCCAGCATCTGCCGCCAACGTTCCCTTGGTCAGCACCAATTCCAGTGCAACAAGTTCCCCTTGAGCCGCCCCCCTTCTCGGTTCCTTCGTTTGCTGGACCAACCTTTGTTGGGTCACCGGGAATTTCCTCTGTCCGGACACCAGCAGGCGGCCACACCAATTCTCCATTAGCAGAACTTGCTCAGACTATATCACATGTGGCGACAAACGTCACCAATATCGTGACTACCAAGCTCCTAGCAGTCGAACATTACACTACGTGGCGGGCACAGTTTGAGTCGTTCTTAGTCTCGCAGGGCCTCCTTGACATGGTTGATGGATCAATTCAGGTACCTACTCCTTATTCCATAGATGTTATTAACCGTCAATTTCCCAATCCCGAATTTTCTACTTGGCTGCGCATTGACCAAACCATTCGTTCATGGTTATTTGCCACTCTTTCTCGTGATGTTCTTATTGATGTTCGGGATTTAAAACATTCATGTGAAATTTGGGAACGGTTAGAATCTCGATTTATGTCAGTCAGTTTGGCCAGATCTATGGAATTAAAGCGATTATTTTCTCAAATTAAAAAGAAAACTGACCAGTCAATGGATGATTATTTAAGGGAGATTAAAATTTTGGTTGATGATCTTGCTATTATTAATTTCCCTGTCCCTCCTCGCGAAGTGCTCAAAACTACTATTATGGGTCTGGGTTATGAGTATGAATCTATGTTCACTACTGTCTCGCTATTCCTCGACAATTTTCCGTTTGAGAAACTTCACATTCATCTCCTTGAACAAGAGCAGCGGGTTCTTTATCTCCGCTCCGGCAATTCCTCCATCCATCAGGCTTTCAGTGCCGCGACGTCTTTTCCGGGAAGTCTGCCAATTCGTAGTCGAGCCACCAGGTGCAGGGCTATCATCCGTCGGGTGGTCAGCAACAGCGCCCGTCCGGTCAGCCGTACTGAGGCCGTGGATGCGGCAGGGGGCGCGGTGGTCGGGGAAGAGGCTGAGGAACGCCGGTGCAGACCGTACTTTGGTACCCGCAGCAGAATCAAGCCGGTTACACCGCGGCACGGGGTGGATCCTCCGCTCCAGCTGGGCATGCTCCACATTCAGGGGGTGTGCAAACTATGGGTACTGTTATTTGTAATTCTACCATGTCACATTTAACTATGGGTACATGTTGGTGTTACTAATTCTAATTCTGCAGGCTTGTCATCAGATGGGGGCATTCTTGGTTCTGTTCCCCACCCTGTTGTGTGTCAAATTTGCTTTTCTGCAGGTCATTCAGCTGTTACCTGCCCTCACGTTTTACTCAGCCTTCTGCTCCTGCTTTGTTGACTACTCCTGGAGAATCTAATCCGGCTATATGGTATCCTGACTCTGAAGCTTCTGCTCACATGACAGCATCTGAAGGTATTTTGCTTAATAAATATGCTTACACTGGCTACAATTCTGTTAGTGTTGATAATGGTGCCCATTTACCCATCTGTCATGTTGGTGATGTTGCTTTACCGTCTTCTGGCCGTTCTCTTACATTAAAATCTGTTTATCATGTGCCTCAGTTAAAATATAATTTAATTTCTATTAAGCGGCTATGCGCAGATAATAAATGTACTGTCATTTTTGATAAAAATTCCTTTTTTATTAAGGACAAGGCCTCGAGGACGGTGCTTCTGCGAGCTACCAGTAGTGGACCACTATATCCTCTCCGTCTGTCAGATTCTCCATCCGTAGCCTTAGCATCTGTTCTAGTTTCTGGCCCTATGTGGCACCGTAGATTAGGTCATTGTGGTGATTCTATTTTACAGTTCCTTAAACGAAAACAATTTTTATGTAGTCATACTCCTTTTACTCATGAATGTGTCGCGTGTCGGTTAGGAAAATCACAACGTTTGCCCATTACGGATGCTTGTCATAATTCTTCTCTTCCTTTACAACTGATTCATTCTGATGTATGGCAATCTCCAGTTCGCTCTAATCTGGGATTTAAATATTATGTTTGTTTTATTGATGATTTTTCCCGATTTACTTGGCTATATCCCATGACTCACAAAAGTGAAGTTACTATGCATTTTAAACATTTTAAAGCCTTGGTTGAAAATCTTTTTAATCAGAAAATAAATTTTTTTCAAAGTGATGGAGGTGGTGAATTTGTTAATCACAATATGCATCAATTTTTTTCCGATAATGGTATTTATTTTCAAAAATCTTGTCCTGACACACCTCAACAAAATGGGGTTGCGGAAAGAAAACACCGTCATCTTCTTGAATTAACTAGGACTATGCTTCTTGAGGCATATGTTCCTAGTCAATATTGGGTTGATGCTATTTGCACTGCTGCATATATCATTAATGGATTACCATCTCCTACACTAAAGGGTATCTCTCCATATCAAAAACTTTTTCACCGTCTCCCTGACTACTCATTTATGCGTGTTTTTGGTTGCACATGCTATCCAAACTTTTCGGCCACTTCGGCCAACAAACTCTCTCCTAGGTCTGTCCAATGTGTTTTTCTTGGCTATGCATCTGGCTATAAGGGCTATCGTTGTCTTGATCCTACTACCGGTCGTGTCTATGTCAGTCGTCATGTTAGGTTTCACGAGGATACTTATCCCTTTAAATCACTGCCACCACCTAGGACATCCCTTCCACCAACCCAACCAACCTACTTTAGCATGCCCCCTACCAGCTACACGACTCCAACACCACCCACCCGTCTGCTCTCTGTGGCGGCCGAACCCCATTTCGACCATTCTTCTTCACCTTTACAACCTACCAGTACGAATCCTACTTTGACCAGCTCCTCTCCGTCACCCTCCTCCCGCTCAACCACCTGCAATTCACTATCTAGGCAGTCCTCCACCACATCTTTCCGTTTAGTGTATGCCGCTAGCTCTTCCCCTCCCACTCCGTCTGCCCACCGAGATAATTCTCAGCCCGATCCCGTCTCCCCTCCACCCACTTCCATTGAGCTCACAATTGTCTCTAATCAACACCCCATGCAGACCCGTGGCAAGGCCGGAATTTTTAAACCTAAAACCATCTTTAATTTAAGTACAGTTGTTATTTCTGCAGATCTCACCTGTTTTACTGAGGCTAATAAACATTTAAAATGGCGAGAAGCAATGACTGACGAATTTAATGCACTCATTAATAATAATACTTGGGATCTGGTGCCCTTTAACAATACTAAGAATATTGTTGGTTGTAAGTGGATTTATAAAACCAAATATCATTCTGATGGTTCTGTGGAGCGCCATAAAGCTAGATTAGTTGCTCAAGGGTTTAATCAACAGGCTGGTATTGATTTTTCTGAAACTTTTAGTCCTGTCATTAAACCCACCACTGTTCGTATTGTCCTTACACTAGCTGTATCTTTTGGTTGGGTTATTCGTCAGCTTGATGTTAAAAATGCATTTTTACATGGTCACCTGACAGAAGAAGTCTATATGTGTCAGCCATGTGGTTTTGTTCATCCTCAATTTCCTAATCATATATGTCGTTTGCGTAACGCTATTTATGGTCTTAAGCAAGCACAACGAGCTCGGTTTCATCGGTTTAGTAGCTTTTTGCTACAACATAATTTTACCTGTAGTAAATCTGATAATTCCCTATTTATTTTTCGTCATAATAATTCTATCATTTATTTATTATTATATGTAGATGATATTATTATTACTGACAATTCTGAGTCTACCATTACCCAGTTCATATCAGTTTTTTCTACTCACTTTGCCATGAAGGATTTGGGTAATCTCCATTATTTCTTGGGTCTTGAGGCACTTTCTTCTCCTAAAGGTTTGTTTCTATCTCAACACAAATATGTCTCCGATCTTATCACGCGTTTTCATCTCCATACGGTTAAACCCGTTCGCACACCATTAGCTTCTCGTACTACTCTGTCCCTTTCTGATGGTGAGTTACTTGCGGACTCTACTGAGTATCGCAGCATGGTGGGTGCATTACAATATTTAACTTTGACAAGGCCAGATATTACTTATGCAGTACACTTAGTTTCTCAGTTCATGCATGCACCCCGTACTACTCATCTACTTGCAGTCAAAAGAATTTTCAGGTACTTGCAGGGGACACGTGATCATGGATTGTGGCTACAGCATTCTACTCGACCCACATGCGTTGTTGCTTATTCTGATGCGGACTGGGCTGGTTGTCCTGATAGCTCACGATCCACTACTGGCTTTGCTGTCTTCTTGGGTCCTAATTTAATCTCCTGGAAATCCAAGAAACAGCCCACCGTCTCAAAGTCATCCACAGAGGCAGAGTATCGTGCTATTGCATACACCGTTCAAGATACCCTCCACATCAGTTCTGTTCTCTTTGAGCTCGGCTACCCCATCACGGCACCTGTGCATCTCTTATGTGATAATATTTCAGCTTCCTATTTGACTGTAAATCCTATTCAACATGCTCGGAGTAAGCATATTCAGATTGCTTATCATTTTGTTCGCGAACGTGTTGCCCATGGTGATCTTATCGTTAAGCATGTTCCTACACATCTACAGTTGGCAGATATTTTTACTAAGAGTCTACCTACTCAGCGTTTTCATTTTTTGAAAGACAACCTGCGCGTTGTTTCTCCCGCACGACTTGAGGGGGTGTAATAGAATTATTAGACCATTAGTATTGTACTTTACATTAAACTCTTTTATTATAAATATATCTGCAGGGCTCCTTAGAGAGTATCATGTTCCATTATTCTCACAAGAATCTTTAATGAGATCGTGAATGGCCACCATATCGTCTCCCAAGCTATCCCCAACGAGGACTGTACCTATCTTCGTCGCCTGAAGAGCGTGCAGATGTATGACGGAGTTATGGATAACATTATCTATGTACGTCGCGCTTTTATACTTGGTCATTTTTCATTTGATGTTTGTCTTGTTTCTAACATTGTGTGTGCTTTGTCTAGGGTCCCTTCTTTCTGATGGAGCACCAGAGGAGGCAAGAAGAAGAGATGGCCTTCCTTAGGGAGTTTGAGAAGAAGGCCTGCTTGGCCGATGAAGCTCTGAAGGACCTTGACAAGCTGCAGACTGAGTTTGATGACATGAAAAAGAAGGCTGATGCTCCCAAAGAAGAGAGAAAATCCTTTTGTCCAAATTGGATGATGCAGTGGTTGCTCGGACCAAGGCCGATGAGGCTCGGGATGCGGCCGAGCGTCGAGCTGTGGATGCGAAGCGGGTCGAAGATGAAGCTGAGAAAGGTGCTGATAGGGCCATTGATCAGTTCATGGCCGAGGGATGGAGAACCGATGATCAGCGGCGCCCTTGGTGCTATGAGGTGGTAGTTGCTCGATTTGAGGAATGGGCAAAAAATGACCCTGCTAGTCAATAGGGGTAAGCACGGTCCGGTCCGGTCCAATATGTTGCCGAACTCATACCCGTACTATGACTATTTAAACGGTTTTGTTCGCTTCGGTCTTAGACCTAAACCCGTTCGGTACGGTCCATTTTCAAACGGGACGGTATCATGCCATATCAATACCAAAAAAATCCACTTTTTTCAAGTGTTTGAAAAATTAAAGTTTAGTCACCCTCCATAAATCCACACAATTTATCAATTTTTTTATATCATACTACACACGTCCTGAATTGATTTGTAAAGTCAACCTTTTTTGGTCAAAGAGTTTCTTTTTATTCACTTACTTAGGATATCACTTTTTAATTATATCGTAATTTGGCCGTTCAAAAAAGCACTTCGTGTTCGTTTATAATAATTTGGATTTTGCAACTTTAAAAAGATTTAATGTGGTTTCTAAATATGTAAATTTTAATTATTAAAAATTATATTAATTATCATTAGGGAGGACTTAAAATTAACATTGACAAAAAATGTTGACTTTGCAAATTAATTTGGGATGGATGAGGTAATTAATAAATTTCAGATAAAATATAATAGTACAAATTTAAATAATTAAACCATACTTCGGTCTGGTCCGGTCCGGTACCGATTCTCATTTTATGAGAACCCGACTAGGGCTGAGCAAATAACCGACAAAACCGATAAAACCGAAAACCGATACCCGAACCAACCGAAAAAGTCGGTTATCGGTCGGTCATCAGTTATTACATATTAAAAGAGGTCGGTTATTCGGTTATTCGGTTAACGGTCGGTTATTTTAATCGGTTATCGGTCGGTTAACCGAAAACCGAATTATAGTCTACTCCGTATAAACGTTTGTATGTACTTCATTTATGCTATGATGTTTCACTTAATAACATATCATAATTACTCTAAGAAGTAATGTCAAATATATGACCAAAATTAATATTGTGGATTCTGAGATAAGTGTGAAAAGCATTCTAGGGCTACATACGGTACCTGGCTACCTCAAACAGGTAGTTGAAAGCATCAACAGACTCAGATTCTTGAATGACCTACACATCTCCTTCCGCCATCGAGAAACGAACGAAGTAGCACACCATCTCGCTCAAACAGGGCTCCGATTACACTACATCAAACATTTCACTACAAACACTCTACCATCTAAAGCAAAAAAAGCATTTTTCGAAGACAAGGAGGGAACCACCTACTTGAGAGACGCCGGATAAACCTTGCTACGGAGAGAGAACCAAGATCAACGATCATTTTTCGTGTCGATGGCATCCCTCACTCAACCGCTCTGCTCCCTTCGCTCTCTCGAAATGCCCAGAACCCTAGTTGATGGGATGGCCTTTGGAGTATTATGTTGGATCGAACCATATATTCCCCTATTATGGCCGGTAGGGCGTTTAGCTGATCAGGACCCATTGGACCCAGCACCTGTGTCGTTTTTTCATCCTTCCCCCTCTCCCTTGTTTTTTTTACTATTGGGTCATTCGTGTTTGTAATCTCAACTCCCTTAATAAAATTAGGTAAATGTTCCCCGACATTTACCACGCCCTTAGGCGAATTTTCGGGACAAAAAATAATAATATTGTGGATACTCATGTTAACTTTGGTCATATTCTAGTTTACCTTAGTATCTTGTACTCCGTAATATTTAAGGAAAGCCCTCATATTTTAATAAATCTCATGTATTTAGTATTTAGTGATTAACCTAAAAGAGATAAAATGACACTCGTGCATAAGAAAAACTACCAGTAGCGTAAGAAAACTAATTTTATTATGAGATGATTTAATTCATTTCTTCTTATTTATTTCACGGAAGGAGATGAAGGTCTTCTTTGATCACGGCCAATATCGTATTCAAAAGCTGATCTACAGGAGCCTGCGCCGACGCTTCCACAACATGAAACCCCTCGGCCTGAACCTTTCTCGGAAGATGAACCACCCTGAGGCCGAGCTTGAGTTGCCCTTGGAGTAGAGGCAGCTCCCCATCCTGAGATCCAAGATCGGCGAAGAGCCATTGAGTGATGACGAGATGTTGGAAGATGGTGCTGCTTCTAAGGTTGCAGACGAAGAAGGTTCTGAGGATGGAGATGAAGGGAGTGATGAAGCCGACGAGGGCGGAGGCCAAGCTGATGATGTAGCTTAGTCTTTTTACCTTCTCCTTTTGTTTTGATGTTTGTGCTTTAGCTTAGAGGCCACGGTGCCCTATATTTGTAATGATCTATGAGCCCCCTTTTGTACTTAAATATTTTCATTAAGGGAAAATCGCACTTTTAGTCCCTGAAATAATCATCATATTGAAATGTCAGATCCATATTTCAAGGATTGTAAATGTGACCCCTCAATTGTCCAAATTGATGTAAATGTGGTCCTTTGAGTGGTGAAATGTACTCCTCTCCACATTGTACATTTCACCCTTCAAAGGACCACATTTACAACAATTTAGACAATTGAGGAGTGACATTTACAAACTCGCGAACATGGGTCTGACATTACAATTTGGTGACTATTTCAAGGACTAAAAATGCGATTTTCCCTTTCATTAATGAAATTATTGCTCTTCCTTTGTATATGCTCCACTTCGTTTTTCATGTTTACCTTTTGTGGTTCTGCATCGTCTCATATCTTTTTGTTTTATCAATGTTCTTATACTTGGACAAATTTTCAAAGTATAAAGAACTCGCTTGAGCGCCGGATATGGCCGATGGACTTCCTCCGGCCGGGCTGTAGTTATGTTCCTTTTCTGAAAAAAAAATCAAGTATCCGGGTTTTTTTCTCATAGCCCTTCCCCTAGAGGAGAGTGCTGCTAGCAACTTGGCCAAGGGGATGTTGATTCCTTCGGCTTGACAGTCACGTTGCTTTTGTACTCTGTAATTTTTCAAGGACTGAAACTTCCTTGTTCACCATCTTCAGTAGCTTGGCCGATGAATGTGCTTCCATTGTCCATGGCCCTTTACAATCTTTCCCAGTCCATAGATGTGCCTAAGGGAATTGTTTGAGCTTACGGACATGGCTGAGGGGTGTTGTGATTTGTTTCTTTGTACTTTAAGGGAGTTTCCCATGTACAAATATAAGACATAGGGAACTCTACTTTCAAAAAGAGCTCTACTTTATGGGTGACGTCCAAGTTGTGTTTGTCCCTAGTATTAATTTCTATGCTCTGAAGTATGCTTTTAGGATCTTGCTTCGTTCAAAAAGCGTCAAATTTGACTGATATGTACTTGGCCCAATTCGTGACTTGTCTTTAGGGATTCTATTTTTATGCTCAAGGCCGGCAAGCGTCTGGTCCATTGGCTTCCCTTTTTTTTACTCCTCTTTACTTCTTAGAGCGAGGAGTGCGTCTTGTTTACTGGTGGGGCCGAGGGGGTTGCTATTCCCTCGGCCAGTGGGGATTCCCTGATTCTGTCCATTCCTCCGCTATTTCACGTGAGCTGAACCGAGGGGGTTGCTAGCCCCTCGGCCAAATGGGATGGTTCCCGTACCTTGGGGGTTTCCTTGTGTATGATGACGTGGGACCAGACTTTTGGACAAGTTGTCTGACGGCTTTCGTATTAGGTCCCTCGGAAGTGACCTAGGTATGGAGTTTTTGTCACCTCGGCCTTCTTTCAGGCTTGTCATCCTGCGTATTTCGCGAGAACGACGCGGTAAGCTTCTCCTTTCAAGACGTGGGCCATTTTTTAGGGCCTTCATCCTAGTGATTAAGACATCGTCGACATTTCTTGGGTAATTCACCTCGAAGGGGTGTTAGGTCCCCTAGATTTTGATTATCATATATTGTTTCGGTGATGCCACCCCTTTTTAAATATCCTGTAATAGACTAGAGCTTGTATTTGTTCTACTACTGTTTATTGTAATGTGCTCAATAGTGATAAAGTACTCAAGAAAAACAGAGAGTACTAAAAAGAGAAGAAACATACCATAAAACAAAAAAAGAAGAAAAGAAAAGGTACAAAAAGAGTAAACTGAAACCCTTAAAGAATCGATACTTAAAAAGACCATCTCATGGTCTTCTGTTATGGTCGTATCAGAGAACCTCACCAGATGAGGTGGTTCTCCGATTCACACCCGACCAAAGATCCTTTATGGTCGTACCAGAGAACCTCAACAGAAGAGGTGATTCTCTGATGACACCAGAGCAGAAGACCTCATAGGTATTCTGATGAGGTATTCTCATGAATTATTCTGATTGAGTACTCGATATCTGTTATTCTTCTCTTAGCACCTCACAAGAAGACAGAAGACTCACTTGCAGTCAAAATGACAAAATGTATAGAAATTAATGTTACAAGAAATTATGTGACAAAATTTCTTATAACATTATTTACTAAAAGCAAGTAATCCTATCATGAGGAAGCATTAAAAAACAATCAGGCTAGATACTGAATTTCTACGAGCTAAAGAGATAAAGATAAACCATCTTATCTTTGCCTAAAAATGAGGAATCAAGTTGAGTGAGGATAAAATGATCTGTGTCACAAGAAGACGAGAATCAACCATGCTGCCCCAATCAAGTGGAACAAAGCAAGTAGATCAAGCAACGATCAAGATTGGATCACTCAGCCAACAGAGTAGATTCAACAACAAAGTCTATAAATACAGAAGGAGTGTGGGAAGACCAAGTGTCGCACCAGATGGCAACAAGCCATGGTATATTGGAACCCAGTGGAACTGAAGGGAATCAAGGTTCACACGAACACATCCAGCTAGGTGATTCACCTTCACCACTCTGGTTACCACCCCACTCATCTAATGCTCTTAGAATAGCTCATCATTCATATACATCTATAGAGCTTAGATTAGTTGGTAGACTAGTTTAAACCCATGTAAACTAGCCTAGTGTATACATTCTGGATGTGTTGTGATCATCCAGAAGGTGAGGCAGGGACATGACTAGCTTTTGGCTGGGCAACGCCATTAGTGAAAAAATTTGGAGGACATGAGTAGCTTGGAACAGTCTGGTTCCTCGTGAAAAACCTCACAATCTACACCCGGACCAGGGGTAGATTGGGCACTAAATGTAATGGGATATTCATTTAGTGGAAATCCATCTGAAATAGGTTGGGACTGGATGTAGGAGGATTACACCACCTCTGAACCATCTAAATGTAATGGGATATTCATTTATGTACCTTTTACATTCAGCACCCAACATATACTTCTGTTCTCATTCACCTTCATATTATCCCAAAAGCTTGCATATTCACTGCCCAGAAAACTCCCTAAAGTTTTATGTGAATCAAAACTCCTTACCTACGTACTTCAAAGAGATCTATGTCAATAGGTCTAAATCCTTCACACAAAGGTGTTATGTCCACCCATCTCTATTAGAACTAAAGGGTCATAACCTTTGTTTCTATAAAGTGTCACACTCTTGAGGTCAAGACTTCCGTTGTATGTTTCAATATCTCCCAAAAGATATTGGAACACATTCTGTTTGAGGAAAAAGGGTTGAAAAAGAAAAGATTTTTATAAGTCTATTCACCCCCCCCTCTAGACTTCTACCTCACTTGGGACCATCAATTGGTATCAGAGCGGTTGTTCATAGAGTCAATTTTTAATCGGTTTATTTTGAACAAAAAGATCAACCACCTATTTCCCAAAACACTTATAGAACACAGATGGAACACACTATGAAGGATACTCTTCAAAGAAGAAATAAGGAAGGAGAAAGAAAGCTTTGATCACACATCAAGGAAAAGGATTGTTATTCAACAAGAAGAAGAAGTCAAGCCTACTATCATGACATCACAGTTCTGGCCAACTCTTTCAAAGAAAGATGTTCATGAAGAGGTATATTCAAATACATCTTCAGTAACTCGGTTTATCTTGAATGTTCAAACCTAACTATGCTTCACTTCATAGAACATTCAGATAAATTTATCCCTTTCACAAACTGAAAATCTTGAACATCAGAAAGTCCAAATAGTAACTGGACTAAGAGGATAATCTAATGATTAACATTAATCTTATGAGGAATAAAAACTGAGAAATCTCATTAAGTTCATTACTACTGAAGATCATATTACTGGATTGGCATTGAATATGACTTTATCCATTCTGTCCCTAACCTCCAGAAAACCAAAACACTTACTGGTCCATCCATTATCCATATCAACTCCATAAACAAATGGACCAGTAACCAACTATATATTTCCACATCATCATACACCCTCCTTACCCTTACTCCCATACCAGAGAACCTATCACTCACCCTTCTGGCTGGCAATATTTTTGGGAAGTCAACCAGTCCACAAAAAGGGATCAGAGAAGGTTCAAAAGAGATTCAATGATATAAAGGGAGAAGAGAGCAACCAATATCATGAAACAAACAAAGACCTATTGATTTCACTATTCATCGATTGACATCTGATGTTTATGAATATCAAAAGATAGTTGTGGGTTTCTCATGGTATCACTAGTGGTACTACTGCTCTTAAAGGAAAGGAAGGACCAAAAAGAAAAAAAGATGATGGAAGTATTGAGTGGAATAAAGAGGTCAAGACTGGAGACAAACAAACTGAAATTCTCAGATCATTAACATGACTTATGTTAATGGTTTAAAGAATTGTCTATTGAGCACACGCCAGTCTATGACAAAACAAGACATTATGTTCTCAAGAATGTCACCAAAGATGTGCTCACTGGAAAGAAGAGATTCTCAAGACAGTAAGCTCCAAGCTGCTTGTGGAAAAACTGCTGGCAAAGAACCAGCTGAAAAGATCTTCTTCTCCAGCCACAAGGTATAAGTGGATGTATCAGATGATCTTCAATCCCAATCAGAATGGCCTTACTCAAAGAAGGATTGAACCAACATCAACAACATCACACAAAGATTGTTATGATCATATAGCACTGAAGGTAGATTTTGATGATGTCTACAACAGTGAGATACTCAGAATCAACAAAGGATCCTAGCACATCTAATCCTCAAGGCAAGAGCTTGAATGTTGAACAACCTTGAAGAAGGAAAACATATGCCAGAAAATCCTAAAGGTACTCCTCCTTATCACAATAAAATATCAATTGGTATCATCCTTTGATATCAATTGAAGGACATACAACTCAGGGGGAACTACTCAAAGGTTTTAGGCAAACATTGTTACGTTCATCTTGCTTATGAGAAGGTTATTACATTCCTGTCAATAACCTACTAAATAGCAGCGTTCTAATTTAGGAGCACCCTGTTAAAAAGCTAGATCATGCTAATAAAAGTGTCCTAAGAATGTCCATTTCTAAACTTTACATACAAGTCAAAAAGACTCAATCATCAACACAGGGGGAATGTTCAAAAAGCTTCAAGAGGATACACTCAACCAAAGGATTGAGGACTATTTAGATGAAGATTGGTGATGAAAAAGGCATTAGCAAACTCTCAA